GACGCGGGGCTCGAACTCACGGACCGCGAGATCGTGACCTGGCTGAAGTCGGACGCTTAACCGACTGCGCCACCCAGGCGCCCCATGAACGTTGAATTTCTAAGATTCATTCATGATATTTCTGTATTATATTCCATTGGGCAAATGTATTTTATTTTTCCTCTCTTTTATCAATAAACTGTAGGTCTGTTTTCACTGTTGCCGTAAACATTCTTATACATGTCTCCTGGGGCATCTGGGCAACAGTGTCTCTCTAGGGGTATATGCCCAAATGTGAAATTTGCTAAACATTGTGGTATGCAAATACACCATGTGACAGGTGGCCAATTATTTTCCAACTAAATAAATTTGCATTTCCACCACGAGTGTATAAGATTCCTTAACTTGTATCCTCAACGAAAACTTGAAATCATCAGACTTCTTAATCTTTCACCAGTCAAATGGGCAAGAAATGGTATCTTACTGGGGGACTTAATTTTCCTTTTCCTATTACTAGTAAGATTGAGAATCTTTTTTTATGTACTTATGCATCATTGGGGTTTCTTTTTCTGTATTGTACCTATTCATGTCTTTTCATTTCTTTTTGTTTTAAAACTTTTATGTAATATTTGATAAATATAAAACCTTGTGTTTAACAGGGATACCTTATGAAGTCTAGCAACAAAGCAAACACCCAAGGACTCTCCACCCACTCAAGACTAGAACACTTCAGTGTTATTATGACGTTATTGATTTGCAGGGTTTTTGTTGTTAAATAATATGATGACTATCCCCTTGTGGTTAGTAATTGTGTCAGTCGTGGTACACAGCTTGTTGCTTGTCCTTTTGCTTTCTCTGTAGACAGAACTAAATTTAATGTAAGAAAATGTTACAGTGTTTTATTTTCTCACTTGGAAAGTTTTGTTGGTTTTTACATTTACAAACACATTCTTCAGTTTCTTTACTCACCTTTCCTTCTTTCGTCTCAGATATTCCCTCTAGGATCACTTCTCTTTCTCCTCAAGTTATTTTTTACGAGTTCTTTTTTTTTTTTTTTTAAGTTTATTGATTTATTTTGAGAGAGAAAGTGTGAGCAGGAGGGGCAGAGAGAGAGAGATAGGGAGAGAGAGAATCCCAATCAGGCTCCATGCAGTGAGCACAGAGCCGGATGCAGGGCTGGAATCTCACCAACCGTGAGATCATGACCTGAGCTGAAATCAAGAGTCAGACACTTGACCGACTGAACCGCCCAGATGCTCCTGGAAGTTCTTTAAGGGGAGATCTGTTAAGAGTCAACTCAGTTTTTATTTCACTCTCATTCTTGAAAGATTGTTTGGCTAAGTACAGAAATATAAATGGGAAATTCTTTTCTCCACTGCACACTGTCTGCATTCCTTAACCACTGCTGTGAACTTTTGCCAGCGAGCTTTCCTCCCTTTGGAGAGATGTGTCTTACCTCTGGCTGCTTTTCAGGTTTTTGCTTTCTCTTTGATTTACTGCTATTTTGCTCTTCTCTGTCTAGATGCAAATTCCTTTTTATTTATCCAGTTTGGGTTACACTTGAGTTTTGTCTGTGGACTTTTCTCTGATCAGTTCTGAAAACCTTTCTCAGCGGTTTCCTTCTTCCCATATTTCTTCTCCATTCTCCTCCTCCTCCTCTCCTTCGGGGACTGATTGGACTTTGTGGGCCTTGCTTTCATTCTGCTCTGTCTCTTGTTCATCTTCTTGTCTCTCTGTGTGGTGGTCTGCATCATATGTTAAGCTTTCTCTTCCAGTGTTCTAGCTTTTTCATTAGTTTTATAAAGATTCTGGTCGTTTTGTGATCTTTGATTAGGAGTGAAATTTGCTTACTCTCAATCTGAAAACCCACAAAAAAGACCGTGAACACAAATTGATACTGTTTTCCTTCAGAGAGGATTTACATTTGCTATTCTTGGGAGCCTGGGAGCCATGGGATAATCACAGCCTGGGGCCATTTTAATCTCAGTTTAATCTAGGAATCTCAGGTTCAGCTCTACCCACTGCCCCCAGCTAGTAGTTACATTTCCCCCAAAAGCAACCCTGCCTTTGAGTAGTCTTACCACCCTTTGCCCTGTTTTCTGGTTCTCTTCCATCTTACACACACACACCCTAGTTTGCATTAATCGCTGCAACTCCAGCAATGCAACAAATCATATGTTTTATGAAAGGTCTAGTCCTTCCACTGCAAGGGCACCTCGCAGAGGGTGCTGTCTACAATAGTGCCCAAAGTAGAAATATCTACAGGGGATTTTTTTACTGACCATCTTCATGACATCTTACTGGCTCCTCTCTCCTTTCCTCTCTTCCAACTCTTTTTCTTCTTCCCAGATCTCCCCACCCCCTTAATTTCCAGACTTCTCTGCACCCCTCTGTGAAGTCTTTTCACTCCTGTGCAGAGCAGGTCAGCTCTCCTCAGCTTCCATATGCACCTCTGGGCTTACCTATGCAGATTTGAACCAATCCGGCAGTCTGCCATCCTTAGAAGGCAGTTGTAGTTGTAAATAGCAATTTTTCCTTCACTCTGTTATTTCTGTTCCCTGAGTACACACTGGGTGCCTGCCAGGGGTCTGGCACTGTCCAGAGCACTGTGGAGGGGTTATTGTGCAATATGAGTTCATATCATTAGTAATGTGTTGTCTTTGAGGTATATTGTGTACCAGAAGCACTGTGTTAAAAGCTGTCCATAAGCCATATGTAATATGCTCAGAAAAATTAGAATTACCAGTGTGTTTAAAGAAATATGGACACAACTGGGCTAAGTAATTGAATTTGTTCATGCATTTTATAAGTGGTTTTTAGCTATTATTTCCTAAGAGTGAATCATCTGTACTTGTTTCAAGTTCATAGTTAGCCCTTTACAGCCATATTTCTTCAGTAACAGAAACTAGAATGAATAATTTGTATGTTTTTCAGTGTACCTGAATGCAATTCAGAAAATATCTTCTCTCTTTTTAAAAATTTTTTTAAAAATGTTTGTTTATTTTTGAGACAATGCGAGAGACAGAGTGCAAGCAGTGGAGGGGCCGACAGAGGGAGGCACAGAATCTGAAGCGGGCTCCAGGCTCTGAGCTGTCAGCCCAGAGCCTGACACGGGGCTCAAACTCACAAACTGTGAGATCATGACCTGAGCCGAAGTCAGACGCTTAACCGACTGAGCCACCCAGGCGCCCGTAGAAGATACCTTCTCTTTAATAAATCATGTCAGTTTTACTCAGATAACCCTAATTGCAGGAATATCTTCTTATATCTTATACTTTTAACAGAAAGCATTAAATGCAGATCTAATTTCACTTAGTAAAAATTTATGTTGTGCCTCTTTTGTGCCAGGCTCTGGCCGAGGCTCTGGGCATAAGTGGGAGGCAAAACAAAGCCAAGTCCCTTATCCTGGAGCTTTCATCTTCCTGGGGAGACAGGCACTCAGCCATGGACACAGAAAATGCTACAAAGCACTGAAAGATGCAAAACAGAGTAGATGGAGGGGAGGGTGCTCTAAGAGGATGGTCGGGGAAGGCCTCACTGCCCTGGACAAAGTGAGGAGTAAGCCAGGTGGAAAGCTGGAGAAACATTTCAGGCAGACAGAAGAGCAAGCAGGATGACTCTGGGGTGGACTATGTTTGCAATATTTAAAGATAAGCCTTAACATTAGACTAGACTTATTCTTGTCACTACTTCTGTTTTTCAGGTATCAGAGATGTTTCTAAATGGAGTGAGAGAACAAGAAAACCTCTAGAAACCTTATATGGGTATGACTACTTTAGCAAAACCTGTGAGAAGTGGGTGGATGGCATAAAACAATTTAAACATCTTTCAGATGGTAGGTTGTGTGAACTGTTTTAGCTGTTCCTTTGCTGATCAGAGAGGCTGCTTGAGTTCCTCCCCTGGTGTTTCAGAATTCCCTGGTGATTAGCACATTCACCCACTGTTTTCATGCTGATGTGTGAACAGAGGATGCTAGTGACTGTACACAGTACAAGCCCTTGTATAATACATCTGCCTTAAACTGTACTAAATATATAGTTGTATCAAGGTTCACATAGTTAAGTCTTTAATAGAAGACTGTTCCTTTCTCCTTCTAATCCTTGTGTGTATGATGACAAAATAATTCTCTAGAAGCCTCAGATAGTGTATATGTTCTAATTCTGGAATGGATAATCAGAAAACAAGCCACCACACAGAGCGTATTTTTTTCTTTTTCATGTGTTACCCGCTACATACTCTGTTACTAAGACAAAAAAGAAAGAAGGACCTTTTTGTCATGACCTTCAGCCCCAGCGAGCATGAGGAAGAGTGTTCAGTTCACTTCCCACCTTCAGAACTTAGTTAAATGACTATAGCTCCCTGTCTTTATCTGAAAATTTAACACGATTTCCAATAACAGTAAGAATTGATCTCTTTAAGAAAATTCTGAGTTAAAGTCTGTTTTTAAGCAGCTATTTACATTTATACTCTCTCACTCTTCTATTTTAACTGTAAAAGAATAGAGGGTAGCTAAGATCTAATCTGGGAGCACAATTCAGTTACAGAATGGCTGCAGTTGAAGGGCCAGTTTGATCTATTAGGTAATCATTTCCAGAGTGAGTCACCTATCAAAACTTTCACAATGAAAAGGGCATTTGAAAATGTTACTTTTTTGGTTTAAGTTCAAAACAGTAAATATATCCTGTTCAAATGAAGTACCCACCCATAGAAATAGGTCTTGGAAATGTGTTTCCCTCAGCTCTTAAAAATGCCGTAAAAGATGTCTAAGACAGTTCTCCATTAAAGAAGGCAAACTTTTGAAATGTAAACTTTTTTGCTTTCCTGACAAGAGAGCTGAAGGGGTAGGAAGATTCGAAGGTAGAAGCAGAATTAAATCAGCAGTTCAAAACTATGCCCTGTGTTTGTTAAAATTTAAACCTTCCACTCTGCGAAAAACACCATCAAGAGAATGAAAAGACAAGCCACAGACCTGGAGAAAACATTTGCAAAAGACACATGTGATCAAGCACTGTTATCCAAATGTGCCAAGAACTCTTACAACTGAACAATAAGAAAACAAACAACCTGATTAAAAAGATGAGCCAAATAACAGGATCCCACTGCTCACCTATTAGAATGGCCAGAACAGGATGTTGAGGGCAGTGAAAATACTCTGTGACACCATAACGATGGATGCATGTCATTATACATTTGTTCAGACCCACAGAATGTACAACAACAGGAGTGGCCCCTAATGTAAACTCTGGACTCTATGGTGGGGGATGTTGATAGTAGGGGAAGCTGTGCATGTGGGGGGGCAGGGGGACAAGGGAAATCCCTGTACCTTCCACTCAATTTCGCTGTAAACCTAAAATTAAAAAAAATTAAATATAGTTTTAAAAAAAATGAAAGAGAAGGGAGGGGAAATGCCAAAATATAGAGGAGCTAGCAGTATGTAAATGATCTTATAGCAAGACTGTTAACAAACCACGTATCTCCCTTCCCCACTCACTAATTTGACAGGAGCCCTTTTCTTCCTACTTGTATCCTCATGTTTATGGATGCTCAGTTTAGCAGAGGAGTTAACTGCACAGATTTGGAGTCAGACGGTGGCCTTGCCACTTGGCTTGCTGTTAGAATGAATTGGGCAGATTCATTCATTTGAGCTTCTCTCAAAGCTGCAGTTTCCTATCTGGGAACTGGAGATACTAACAACTACCTCATAAGGTTGTTGTGAGGATCCAACCAGGTTCTGTACGTTCAGCTTTGGTGCGGTACCAAATACAGAGTAAGTGCTTAATAAAAGGTTATTATTACTATCGTTAGAAAAGTGCTTGGTTTACAAATAATTGTACATACTAAATGAGTTAAAACACGTGACGAAGTGTTCCATGGGCATCAAACCACTTGAACAGTTTCTGACACATAGTGCTCAGTAATAAGTGATTATACTATTGGTGGGTGTGTGTCATTTCAGGGGTAGGAGAGGGAAGCTTCTGAGACCTAGGGAAATACTTCCCTGGCCAACCCACCACCTTCTCATTTAGCAGGCAGTGACCCCCAAGTGAGGGGGAGGGACAGGCCAGGTGCCTGGACAGCTTTCTCAGAGCCCCAGCACTTTCTTCTCAACGCAGGCAGAAGCAGGGAGGAGGAAGGAGAGGAAGGAGCTCGCTTTATGGAGTACCTGCTGGGTGCCTAGAACCTTCAATATGACATCTCTTTTTAGCCTCATGGTTAACCCCAGAGAACTGTAACTATCCCTGTTTGACCAAGGAGGAGGCTAAAACTCATAACTAAGGAACTACCAAGATTTCACAGGCAGGAAACAGCAGGACAGGACCAGAACCAGGTTGTTCCACATTCACCTTAGAAATGTTGTTACAAATGGGGGTGAGGACCTCATAATCTCTGAAGCATGTCAGTCAGGAATGTCATGGAAGCAGGAGGGATGAAGAGAAGCTGGTTTGCCATGTGTAAATTTTAACCTCACAGTAAGGTATGTAAGCTTTAAGGGCTAGCTGGAAGCCCAAGAACCATTTAAGACATTATTTCAAGGGAAAAGCTTTCACATGCCAAGCATCTACCATCACTTTGCAAATTGGGGACTGCTCTATATAATATAAAGAATTGTGGGGTTTTTTGTTTATTTTTCCTATTTTACATGAATTATGACTATAAATCAAGTGAATTTCTTGTTTACTAATAGAGCTTCCAAAGCAGAGGGGAAAAAAATAGAGAAACAGGAAGACACCTCAGACCCCATCTTTTTTTTTTTTTTTAATGTTTATTTTTTTTTTTGAGAGAGAGAAACAGAGTGGGAGCAGGAGAGGGAGACACAGAAACCAAAGCAGGCTCCAGGCTCTGAGCTCTCAGCACAGAGCCCAATGTGGGGCTCAAACCCACGAACAGTGAAATCATGACCTGAGCTGAAATCTGAGGCTTAAGTGACTGGGCCATCCAGGGCCCCCACCTCAGACCCCATCTAAGGCAAACCACCTCTTCTACAGACAGGGACACTGAGGTCCAGAGAGAGGCATGATTTGTCTCAGTTCTCTGCTTTTCTGACTCACCTCCTGGGATGGTCCCGTTGAAGCAGATTATCCTTGCTATTTGTCTTTCAGGGAATATCTGTCGGCACTTGCTGCCCCTGGTTCAGTGCCCCACCTTAATCGTGCATGGGGAGAAGGATCCTCTGGTCCCACGTTTCCATGCCGACTTCATACACAAACATGTGAGAGGGTCACGGTAAGTCCAGTCTCTGCTTCAGCGCTCTGCCTTACCGCCTTAGGAAATGCGTGGAAGAAGCCTTGTAAGGAAAGGAAGCATGAAGATTGGGGTTTTTTAAGGTATTACCCGCCCCCTCATTTTGCCCATGTCAATAAATAGTACTGCTCTATTTAGGGTTCCAGAGAACCATGGCGCACATGGAGCCCTGATTTGTGGGTAACCAGTACCCGGAGGGAAAGAAATTCTTGGGTGGATTATTTTCATGTCGCCGCAAAGGCATATCTGCTAATAGGTAGTAAGCCCTGTAACACTGCAGACAGTTTAGATTTATAGCAATCATTGTTAATTAAAACACTTTTATATATTTGGGAATTTTCAGGTTAGTTTATCATTATAAAGGTACTATCGACCCTAGGGAAACTATATTAATTTATATTAATTCCAGAGATGCTGTCATTACTCTGGACATCTTTGGAATTCTTTTGGAATTGGCTTTAGTAATGAGAAAATCCTCCCTCCCTTCCTCTTTGCCTCCCTCCCTCTTTGCCTCCCTCCTCTTCTTTCCCTCCATGAGCCTTGTTTTTTTTTTT